CTCGAAAGTCCAACCTACTCATACATCCGCACACCAAGCAAGTCCATGGGAACCCAACACTGTTCCAGCTACACGTGTGGACCGTATCAAAACATGTTTGAAGAAAAGAGGATACTCAGCCAGTGCAGCCAAAGCAGTAACGCTAGCGTTACACAGATCGACTCGTAACCTGTATGATGACAAGTGGCTGAAGTAAGAAAGACTTCATTGCTATGAAAGCTACTCATCTTCAAGTGGCGGAATACCTGTGTCATCTTAGACAGACTAGACATCTGAAAGGTTTGACATTATTTACATACCTCGCTGCTATCAGTACAGTGATAACCATGCAAACAGGCATCAAGTTAACGAAAGTATCAGAATTACTTGCTTTGCTGAGATCTTTTAAACTGGAGGACCAGCAAAAGAAGTTCAGAGCTCCGTCCTGGGATCTGAATGTAATTCTACGTCATCTTACAGTTGATGCCTACGAACCTCTAGATCAGACTACCTTCGAGCTGCTGACACAGAAGACTCTGTCCTGCTTGCGTTAGCCATGGCAGCTCGAATATCGGAGATACATACGCTGGACTTTGGTCGAACCAGATTCGACACTGGGCAACATGCTGCAGTTCATCTAAGACTTAGATGGGACTTCATTGCCAAGAACCAACTACCTGGTCAACCAGATAGACAAGTTCCACGTACCAGCACTATCTACAATCCTCGGGCCAGAGGATATAGAGGACCTATCCTTGTGTCCGGTCAGAGCTCCGAAGATATATCTTCAAAAGACTAAGACAAGGAGACGAAAATTCAAGCGCCTTTTCATCCCATTATCCACAGAGACACTTTAGTAGAAGTCTAAAGAACGACGATATCGTTCTGGATGAGAGCTGTCATATTGAGAGCCTATAAAGCAGCAGGACTAGAACCTCCTAGAGCTTCCAGCCCACACGAAGTCAGAGCACTGGCGTCAACATTGGCTCTGCATGGAAATTGCTCTATATCATCAATTATGGAGGGCTGCTTTTGGAAGTCGGATACAGTGGTTGCCAAGCACTACCTCCGAGACATAGCCACTGAAGACGTCTCAGGCATTCACCAATTTGGGCCTCTCGTTGTAGCACAGCAACTAATGGTTCCTCAAAGGCGCCGAGTTGGAAAATCTCACCCTTTATCACGTTGACTTGTTGATAACTTTTACTAAGGAAAAGTATTGGTTTGAGAAGTCCATGTGCACAGTCTAGGACAGACTAGCATGAGTGATTAAAGATCCTGTACGGGTAAAGATCTTACCTGTACGTGAAGGGGTCGCAACTCATTTATGATAAAGATCTTATCATAATCTACAGTCTGTTTGAGTGAGAAACAGACCGATGAATTGCAAATTTTATCATTGTACCCACTGACTGCTGGCAGTGTGCGAGGCATTGACCCAGGTCTCGTCCAAGTACACTGGCTAGAACCCTTCCTCGCGCTTCTTCTTTATAACCCTGAGAAAATTATTTCTCAAGCGAACGATATCAGGGCGTTCACAGAGTACTGACCTATTCTCCCCCGAAATTTTCTTATAACGATACCCAAAAGAGTGTAAGAGTCGCCAGAGTGTGTACTTTGATACTCTGAAGTTGTGTTCTTGCTTCAAATGCTTTTTTAAAATTTTCAGCGACATGTATTTGTTTTCAGAATAAAGCTTGTTGATAGACTGCCTTACAAGGTTCTTTTGAAAGTTGTTCAAATGTTTTAATTTGTGTGATTTTGAAACGACCCCCTACCTGCTTCGCATCACCCTCACAATGTTTGTGTTCCAGAACATTTGTCAGTACCCTTGCTGATACTCCTAAAGCTTTTGCTGCCCGCTTACGGAATTTATGAATGGCATAAAATGGTTTGCCCCTTTCGGCTTCAGCACGGAAAAAATCATACACTTTAATCATCAACTGTTTCACGTGAGCATTCAACTTCATTTTTCATCAGGCATGTGTATCCCGTGCACGACGAGATAGTGGCTGTTCCGTTTCTGCGGTTTCACCCAGCCGCAACAGATAACAACTTTTGTGTTTTCAATGATGATAGTTTCTTAAACAACTTTTTTGGTGGAGTCCGGAAAATGTTCAAATATAAGAAAGCTGTTGGGTATTAGTAAATAATAAACGTGTACTATTTATATTTATGTGGCAATTTTGTACAATGATAAAATTTGCAATTCATCGGTCCGTTTCTGACTCAAACGGACTGTATGGGTTGTTATAAGATATATAGTAATAAGAAGATACTAATTTATCTGAAGCCACATGAATCAAGATAATTCAACTTGTCTGAGATGGAAGTAAGACAAGAAGTGGTCCCCCCGCCGAGTTATAACAGAAGTTGGAAGAATAGGATCTCGGAAATGCCGCTACGCAGTCCCCATGGGGGGGACACAGGACGTATCTAAAGGACAGCTGATGAATCCAGAGAGTGGCCTGACCAACCACCAATCCGCAGGATTCTATAAACAAAAGATCATGAGTCAGGATAAGAAAAAATATGTAATTTTTCAAGTAAAATTGATAATTTATACTTATCCTGACTCATGAGGTCAAGCCCTCCCAACCTCCCCGCTGGAAACTCTTCATATCGCACAGCAGATCCAAGTGCTTGGGCAGAAAAATCAGGAGAGAGTGACAAGCAAGGCTGGTCACATGACTGTTTACGCTGGAAAAGCGAGGTAACTCGTGGGTGAGTGTATTTTTATGTCGTTATTCGCAAGGGAAAGGGAGATAAGCAAAAGGTCATGAGTCAGGATAAGTATAAAATATAAATTTTACTTTAAAATTTACATAATTTGCTATTCACCGACGTGTCCAGCCTGTTCACTGCTGCTGATTATGTTTTTATATAATGCGGCGGAAGGGATTCATGGCAGTATAACTTGAAGTTTTCTCACAACTAACTTTAACAGTCATCGCCATTCCGAATTTTTCATGCCATTCGTGAAATGATATGTATATATTTACATCCTACAGTAACCTCGAATAATTGATTGTGTAACTATTTGAGTGTTTCTTTTACAGTAGATTGATACGGGATGAAACAATTAATGACTTGTGAACTTGAACTTGCTGTTATATATAGATCGTGGCACATCCCCCCAGACTAAGTTTAATTTTTTTTATAGGGTTCATAACTTGATCTTTACATTTTCTCTTATGTCACTTGCCGTGAAGATACAGGATGAAATAATTAATGACTTGTGAACTTGAACTTGCTGTTATATATAAATCGTGGCACATCCCCCCAGACTAAGTTTAATTTTTTTATAGGGTTCATAACTTGATCTTTACATTTTCTCTTATGTCACTTACCGTGAAGAATTTTCTTTAACTGTCGTTTATGTTTGTTAAATACCATGTGGAAAAAATACCGGAATTGTAATTGGCCGGAACTGCGCATGTGTGATACAGATGTATTGGCGATAACTGTTCGCTAGCCAGTACAGTTATATACACTGTGACAACACCTAAACATTCTGAGAGACTTCTGGTTTCTGACCTAGCTAGTCTTCAAGCCATATTTACTTTTGGTTTACAAGTAGGGCTGTGGTAGTAAGAAATGACGCACTATTCCCTGGCCTGGTGGGTCCGGTTGGTGCACCATAAAACTAAAATGACTCTTAACAATCAGGCATAAACATAACTTGCTAATATTGTCAACTTGATTTCACATTTTTTATTAGGGTCTGTCCGTCCGTATGTACGAATTGAAATATCTTAAGAACCATTGACTAGATTCTTTTCATACTTGGTACCTAGGTTCATAACAGTATGCGAAAGGTTCGAGTCAGGTTTGGTGACCTTGACCTTCATTTCAAGGTCACGAGGGGACTTTAATGTTTACCCTTGTCAGTGAGATATCTCAAGAACTGTTCTCTGGTTTATCTTCATATTTGACATCAAGCTTCATATAGGGAATGCACAGGGCCCGGTCGATGTTTGTGACCTTCACATCATTTTCACGGTCACGGCGACACTTTGAAGAATTTAGCATGTCAACCTGCATGTTAAGCTTGTCAGCGAGATACCTAAAGAACCATTCACTGGATTTTCATCATATTTGACACCAAGCTTCATATAGGGAAGGTGCAGGGCCCAATCGATTTTAGTGACCTTCACGTAATTTTCAAGGTCACACCGACACTTTGTATTTGAACAGCTACAGAACAAGATATCAAGAGAGGTTGACTGGTCATGTTTTTGTTGACATTTAACTTCATCTTAAACTACGACCTTCACTAACATTACTTTTTAAGTTTGATTTGATAATTTGCGGTGGGGGGATTATGTCACCTTAGTGACAACTGTTTGTCTACCGATTAATCAGCATTCGTAATACTCACAGTGTATTGAGCTTATAATACATAGCTTATTCAATTCTTGCTGTTTGTAGATAGGTAGGTAGATAAGGTTTTAGGGCGACCTTGGGCCTTAAAAGGCCTATATGCGCCCAACACTTAACAAACTGTTATATTTTTGTTCAGTTAAATTATGTCGTACCTACCCGTTTTAATGAGGAAGTCTAAAACAGCTCTTTGTATGCAACCATACATTAAATTATCGCCAAGTATTGCGTTCATTGTAAAAGTATTTTGAGTTTTGTTTAGCACAGTTTCTTGAAGAGCCTCATGCTGTTTGTTTGTACGATAAGAATTACGCCCCTTAGCAGTAATTTTCTACATCAAAGGGCAGTAACTGAATTTGAAGGTAGTTGTCGAACCAAAATGTCGGTTCAAAATCGTCTGCTGCTGTGAAGCGACAGTTGCGAATACTTTTGTTTTTCTAAACAAAAAGATAAAAAAGTCACAGAGAAGATTCGGATCCCTTGTGGGTCAAATGATGGCAACTGTAATTCAGAAATTTCAACGGAAACATTGAATGTCAATGAAACAGCCACCGCACAAGAGACTTCCTGGTGATGTGATGTGTTTGTCTTGTGTACAGAGACTTGCTGGTGATGTGATGTGTCTGTCTTGTGTGCAGGTACCTCCAGTACTCCCTGTTAGACCAGGAGCTGCTGAGCATGAGGAAGTTTGTACAGTACCGGCCTGTAGACTCTACTCCCACTGTTGAGAAGACAGCTCTGCAGTTCTCACAGAAACACATGGTACCTATATATTTTAATGTCTATTTTTACATTGAACATCTGTATTGTGATATTTTTGGGTAGATAAGATGTGGTTATCAGCTGGTTCTGTGTACAAAACTGTTGCTTGTGATGAAGGAGTCTGTTGCTGCAGGTGCTGGATGGGGTGACCCTGATGAACCTGGACCTGGTGGAGAACTGCTTGACCGGAGGAACAGAGGGCACTCTGCTGGAGAGGCTGGACCAATGCTGTACTCCGTTTGGTAAGGACAGGTTCTGATCTCGGGCCTGCACTTTATGTGAACACGATCACAGCTGGCTGATGTCATCCAATGTGGTCATGGCCTGGTTTACAGATTGAAGTAAATAACTAGTGCATGATAGACTCCACTGATTAAATGCCTATCAAAGACTGTGTAAAGAAAGTTACACTGCACATGCTTCACAAATAGTCAAGCAATCAGTCTGCAACTCTTCCACCTCTTACAGCCGTGTATCAGCCTTCCAGAAACCTTGTTCAGCTGACAAATTCTTCCTTTCTGTACCTCCCTGACCTTACTGAGTGCATTTGTATTGTCAACTAAGTTGGTATTAACAAAAATCTGTGTACACGCTTCACTGGCAATTCAGTTAAAGATGATCTGGTATTATAACTTCACAGAATTTCTATTCTATGATCAGAAGAATTCTAATCTTGAGCTATTATTTTAAGAGGGATAATGTATTCTACTGTAGTGTTATGCATTTTTTTCTTTGTTCATATTAAACAAAATAATCAACATAAGCAAAGCACTGTGGTACTTTGCTGGATATACTTTACGTAAACAACTTCTTCTTTGACTTCCTGCGGTACCTGCCACTTTGACTGCAAAAACAAAGTGTTGACATTTAATTGTCGAATATGACTTTCAATGAGTAGGTAATGGGGGTCCATGGATGACAAGATAGTAATCAGATCGTCATTGCTGACTTTGCTGAATTTGGTGCTATTTCAGTGTGGGTGGACCCGCATGAACAGGGTTTGCGGAAGATATACACATATATTTAGGCAAAATACGTAATTTTTCCTTATCCTGACTCATGATCTGTTGCTTATCTCCCTTTCCCTTTCGAATGGTAGTGGAACACTTGAATCCCTTGAAATTCCCGACGCGGACGTACAATACTCACCCACGAGTTACCTCCCTTCCTCTTTCCCGCGCAAACGTACCATGTGACGTGCCCAGACTTGTCACTCTCTCCCTTTTCGCCCAAGCGGATGGTTGGGCGAGCACTGGAGTCCCGTATACGGCAATTTATCTTTTCTATTTAGGACTATTCTTCTAAATTAAGCTGTGTATGGATTTGGCTATAATCATTATGTAGTATTTGTACAAATTTGTTGAAATTTATTGACTTTGAGTCGTGTTTTCATCGTGTTGTAAACTTGTTTACAATTCATGAAATCCTGCTGTGTGTGTAGGCACAGGTTGTCCCTGGCTGTTCCTCACCCCCAATGTCCTTCGTGTACAGATCCATGTTCATCCACCTTGCGTTGTCTTTATTGCATTGATTTAACCAATCTACAATTTAATCAATTTTTGTCTTATGTTTATAGACGTGCCATGGATCGGGTGAAAAAGGCATCTCTAGTCACATGTGATAAATCTGCAGATCAGCCTACAAATCGTATGTTACTTGCTGCTGATGTTCATAATAGTGATGTGATGCTTAGTACGTTACAGGGCCAGTCTGCGGCAAAGGGGGCTAAGAAAAGGTCGTCTACCTCACAGCCTACGCCCGTCCCAGTCTAAGAAAAGAGCGATCCTCTTCTACTCACGCAGAAAAAGGCTACGGGTACCAGATCTGAGGGCAAAACTACACGTGCTACCGCTGCTACGCACCAGAAATCCTTCAATGAAGAGATTGTGCCGCCTCACGAGAAAGACGTTTTTGACGACCCCCCTATACTTCTACCCGAAGTATCGATGACATCAACGACGCAGTCGACCTCAACTACTACGAGATCGTCCCCCATGAATGTCGCAGTAGGCCAGCTGTCCGACATAAGACCTCTTACTTCGAGGAGAGAAGTTGGGGCACAGAAAACAACATCGCAGCAGCGTCAACAGATGCAGAACTTCGACACTGGAGAATTCATGATGCAGTTCACCAACTAGATGATGGAGCAGAGATTCCTGGAAGAATTGAATACTAGGAAGAGCCCACCATCTACCGACACCGTTCGCAAACCCCAAGGCCTGCGCAAATCTACACCCATCAGAGCTACACCTGCAGATGACGTTGGCGAACGTACACCTCCGCGAAGGGCTCCACAGCCGGACGACTCCGTCATACTACAAGATAGTCAAGATGATACGCTGTCCAGGTTCACGAACCTCCAAGGATCCGGCCTCTACATCTAGCCGTTCTAGGTCAAGATCGCCTCAACGCAGACGTTCGCAAAGGCACAGCTCACCACACAGAGGTTCGCGAAGAGGAGAATCCAGAGAGAGACGTTCGCGAAGAGAACACTCTCAGGATAGACGTTCGCACAGGGAGGAATCTTCAGCCACAGGTTTGCGAACCCAGGATGAAGGTTCGCGAAGGGATACAGGTTCGCACAGAGATACTTCAACAAGACACAGCTCGTTTACTCAGGACACTACGGACCCTGTCTTCTCAGACTCGGGGAAGTAACGGCATGGATTGCTAGCGGGTTGAACTTGGAGTCTCCTAAGGATAGGAACGAAGTTTACACCTACATGATGAAGGATGATGACTTTGACTCCGTCAGAATTCCACCGATCGAGCCTATATCCAACGTACCGGACAACCTTCGCACAGCCTTCGTGAAGGCTTCCAAGTACCAGACGCAGCAACTACCATCTTTTAATAAGAGGAAATTCCCCCTACACCACATGGAACCATTTGTGAAGGCGCCTGAGTGGGATGACAACATCAAATTGGTGAACGAGCCCGCAGTAAGGTGTACAAAGTGGATGACAAGAAGCTATCACAACTGGATACAGCTTCTAGAAGATCCTTCTTCAGACTGGCAAGATCTAGAGCCATCAATGAAGCATTGATAAAGAAATTCCAAGATTCCACGACGGAAGAGGATAAAATGATCTACTCGGCCCTCGTCACACAAAAGAAGGATCAGTTCTTCCTGTTGGACCACCTCACATCGATCTCAGCGGGGCTCACCTTAATACGCAGACAGGGTCTACTGGCGTCCTGCTCCTGGAATGATAGATTTACGCAGCCACTACTACGAGCTCCGTGGGAGGCGCCTACCATCTTTGGAGGTCTCTTGGAGGATGCAGCTAAGAAAGCCACACAGGACTCCAGAGAGGTGATGATTAAAACCATAGATACCCTGGCCAACGTCATCCGCCATACGTCCCAGAGATATAACAACAAGTCCAAGTATTCCGGAATACAGAGAGCTAAGGACAAGAAGTACTCCAACTTCAGAGGCGGGAAGGACTCTTTTGTCGCCCTTCGGGCAACTTCAGAGGAAACTCAGGAAGAGGCCGCGGCCCCAGAGCTTCCAGAGGTACCAGACGTTGATGCCAGAGTTCGGGAACGACTGGAGTCTTCCACCCCCAGCCGTTCCTGTAAAACTATCGACAGTGGGTGGACGTCTACAAGGGTACTGGAAGAATTGGGGAATTCTAGAAGACGACTACGCCTCTCGGGTACTAAGAGAAGGGTACAAAGTACAACTGAAAGCCACTCCTCCACTAACCCTCAGCCCGATGGTCTTCAAGTATGCAGAGGAACAGGCCGACAGACTACAAGAAGCCATCAACGCACTACTCACGAAAGATGCGGTAGAGATAATAGATCGGAATCATCTCACCCCAGGCTTCTATTCCCCAATTTTTTCTAGTACCAAAGAAGAACTCCTTGGAGAAGTTCAGACTGATTTACAACATCCGCAAATTCAACAGAGACTACCAGAGAGGTTCAGCATGATCCACCTACCTCAACTGAAACAACTCGTCCGTCCAGCAGATAACATGGCCAGCATAGACTTGCAGGATGCTTACCTTCACATCCCGATACATCAAGAATCAAGAAGGTATCTACGATTCCTGTTCAGAGGGCAGCACAACCAATGGAACGTCCTACCGTTTGGAATATCTTCGGCCCCGTGGCTATTCACACGAATAACCAAGCCTATAGTCGCATACTTTCATCATCGAGGTCTACGCAATGCCTTCTACTTGGATGACGGAATTCAGGTCCACCAAGATGCCAGTCTACTCAGACTACAACTGAACTTCACGATCAAGTTGCTCACGCAACTAGGATGGTTGGGTGAACCTAAGGAAGTCAGAATTGGAACCAAAACAAGATCTACAATTCCTGGGGATAAGATTCATCACTACAGAGAATCGGATGGTCGTCTGAGAGGATCGCTGGGTCAAGATACAAGCCATGATTCCGCCAGCAGTCACCTCTCCGTTAACTACTACGATCATGGCAAGTTCTACTCGGTCTACTAACCTCCGCGCAAGACCTGACGCACACAGGAAGGTTACAGCTAAGACCGCTACAACGGTTCCTGATACGACCCTATCTTGCTGCCGGAAAACCTCAAGAGGTATCTACTGTGGTGGACACACAGGTCGAATGTTTGCGAAGGAGTCTAATTACAAGAGCCGGCCTTCGACACACACCTCTATGCAGATTCCTCGATGCAAGGATGGGGGGCGCGCATCTCAACGATCAAGTGGCCTCGGGAAAGTGGTCCCAAGCAGAACAAAAGCTCCACATCAATCTACTAGAGATGAAAGCAGTGATCAACGCCTTACAACTATGGTCGAGCTTGCTGAACAACAAAATGTTGATGATCCACACAGACAACTCCACAGTGGCTTTCTCCATAAATTGGCAAGGATCCCCAAGATCGCCAAGCCTGTTGCAGCTCACATTCCAGTTGTTCCAGATTATGCAGGAAGCAAACATCTGGATAAAGGCGTGTCACATACCCGGAGCCAAGAACGTACTGGCAGACGCTCTCTCAAGACCACTACACCCATCACCTACGGAATGGATGCTCCATCCAGAAGCGTTTCGGAACATAAGGGAAATAGGATTCCTTTCCATAGACCTGTTTGCCACGAGGTTCAACAAACAACTACAGACGTTCGTCTCACCAGTTCCAGATCCTCAAGCCTGGGCAACAGATGCACTGAGCATGTCGTGGGAAGGACTAAACGGCTACGCTTTTCCACCCCCGATACTACTGCCAAAAGTATTGGTCAAGATCAAACAGACTCAGACGCTACAACTGACTTTGGTCACGCCTTACTGGCCAGCGAGAGCATGGTTCCCAGATCTAATAGAAAACCTAGGAAGCCCAGTAATCAAGCTTCCAGATTGGCCGAACCTACTGATACATCCGCACACCAAGCAAGTCCACGGAAACCCAACAGTGTTCCAGTTACACGTGTGGACCGTATCAAAACATGTTTGAAGAAAAGAGGATACTCCGCCAGAGCAGCCAAAGCAGTAACACTACCGTTACGCAGATCGACTCGCAACCTATACGACGACAAATGGCTGAAGTTTGAAACTTATGCAAGGCGGAAAGGCTTCACAGCGATGATAGCTACGCATCCTCAAGTGGCGGAATATCTATGTCATCTGAGACAGACTAGACATCTGAAGGGTTCGACTCTATCTACATACCTCGCTGCAATCAGTACAGTAATTACCATGAAAACAGGCATCAAGTTGACGAAAGTACCAGAATTACTTGCTCTACTGAGATCATTCAAGTTGGAGGACCAACAAAAGAAATTCAGAGCTCCAGGCTGGGACCTGAATGTAATTCTGCGTCATCTTACCAGTGATGTCTACGAGCCACTAGACCAGATCACGATTGAGCTGCTAACACAGAAGACGCTGTTCCTGCTAGCGTTAGCCACTGTAGCTCGCATATCGGAAATACATGCGCTGGACTACGGTCGGGCAAAATAATGCAGTTCATGTAGGACTTAGATGGGACTTTATTGCCAAGAATCAACTACCTGGCCAACCAGATAGACAATTCCACGTACCAGCGCTGCCTACAGTCCTCGGCCCACAAGATATAGAGGACTTATCCTTGTGCCCAGTCAGAGCCCGAGGAGAAGGAAATTCAAGCGCCTATTCATCCCATTATCAACAGAGACATCAGCTGAAGTCTCAAGAACGACCATATCGTTCTGGATGAGAGCCGTTATATTGAGAGCCTACAAAGCAGCAGGACTAGAACCTCCTAGAGCTTCCAACCCACACGAAGTGAGAGCACTGGCGTCAACACTAGCTCTACATGGAAATTGCTCTATACCGACAATCATGGAGGGCTGCTTTTGGAAGTCGGATACGGTGTTGCCAACCACTACCTCCAAGACATAGCCACTGAAGACGTCTCAGGCATTCACCAATTTGGGCCTCTCGTTGTAGCACAGGAACTAACGGTTGCTCAAAGGTGCTGAGTTGGAAATCTCACCCTTTATCACGCTGACTTGTAGATGACTTTTACTAGGAAAAGTATTAGTTTGAAAGTCCATGTGCACAGTCTAGGATAGGATAGCATGAGTGATATAAGATCCTGTACTGGTAATGATCTTACCTGCACATAAAGGGATCGCAACTCATTTATGATAAAGACCTTATCATAATCTATGGGTTGTTATGAGATATCTAGTACAGGAGAATACTAGTTTATCTATAACCACACGAATCTACATGATTCAACTTGTCTGAGATTGAAGTAAGACAAGGAGTGGTCCCCCCGAGTTACTACGCAAGTTGGAAGAGTAGGACCAAGGAAATGCCGTTTGCAGTATCCATGGGGGAATACAGGACGTATCTAAGGACAGCTGTTGAATCCAGTGGCTTGACCCACCACCTATTCCGACGGATTCTATAAGCAAAAGATCATGAGTCAGAATAAGGAAAAATATGTAATCTTTTAAAGTAAAATTGATATTTTATACTTATTCTGACTCATGACGAACAAGCCCTCCCAGCCTCCCCGTTGACGACACTTGTGATTTCACAGCAGATCCAAGTGCATGGGCGAAATATAAGGAGAGAGTGACAAGTCTGCGCACGTCACATGGTAGGTTTGCGCGGGAAAGAGGAAGGGAAGTAGCTCGTGGGTGAGTATTGTACGTCCGCTTCGGGAACTTCAAGGGAGATAAGCAAAAGATCAGGAGTCAGGATAAGTATAAAATATCAATTTTACTTAAAAAATTACATTTCCGTCACCAGTGTTCCTGTTATTGACTGAATTTAATCCTGTCAAATAAAATGAAGTGCGACCATTAGTTGCAAGTCTTGGAAGATTGTTGTATATAGTGTCTTCAGACATCATGCTATATAATGAGGTGGAAGATTGTTGTATATAGTGTCTTCAGACATCATGCTCTATAATGAGGTGGAAGATTGTTGTATATAGTGTCTTCAGACATCATGCTCTATAATGAGGTGGAAGATTGTTGTATATAGTGTCTTCAGACATCATGCTCTATAATGAGGTGGAAGATTGTTGTATATAGTGTCTTCAGACATCATGCTCTATAATGAGGTGGAAGATTGTTGTATATAGTGTCTTCAGACATCATGCTCTATAATGAAGTATGTTGCAAACATTGTAAATACCCGGCTGATGGCATGCATCTATGGGCATTGTTGGCCAGATATGTAGTGCACTGTTGTGTTCGCTAGATATGTCGTATACTTGTGTGTTGGCTAGATATGTCGTATACTTGTGTGTTGGCTAGATATGTCGTATACTTGTGTGTTGGCTACTATGTCGTGTGTGTTGGCTATATGTCGATATGTCTTATACTGGTGTGTTGGCTAGATATGTCGTATACTGTGTGTAGATATGTTGTGTTGGCTAGATATGTCATATACTTGTGTGTTGGCTAGATATGTCGTATACTTGTGTGTTGGCTGTCGATATGTCTATACTACTGGTGTGTTGGCTAGATATGTCTAGATATACTTATACTGTGTTGGCTAGATATGTCTTATACTACTGTGTGTTAGATATGTCTTATACTAAGATATGTGTGTTGGCTAGATATACTTACTGTGTTGGCTAGATATGTATATACTGGTGTGTTACTAGATATATGGCTACATATGTGTGTGTTGGCTAGATATGTACTATGCTTATAGATATGTCTGGTGTGTTGGCTAGATATGTCGTGTACTGGTGTGTTGGCTAGATATGTCTTATACTGGTGTGTTGGCTAGATATGTCTTATACTGGTGTGTTGGCTAGATATGTTGGATACTGGTATACTGGTGTGTTGGCTAGATATGTCTTATACTGGTGTGTTGGCTAGATATGTCTAGATATGTCTTATGGTGTGTTGGCTAGATATGTCTTATACTGGTGTGTTGGCTAGATATGTCTTATACTGGTGTGTTGGCTAGATATGTGTGTTGGCTACTGGTGTGTTGGCTAGATATGTCTTATACTGGTGTGTTGGCTAGATATGTCTTATACTGGTGTGTTGGCTAGATATGTCTTATACTGGTGTGTTGGCTAGATATGTCTTATACTGGTGTGTTGGCTAGATATGTCTTATACTTGTGTGTTGGCTAGATATGTCTTATACTGGTGTGTTGGCTAGATATGTCTTATACTGGTGTGTTGGCTAGATATGTCTTATACTGGTGTGTTGTTGGCTGGTGTGATATGTCTTATACTGGTGTGTTGGCTAGATATATCTTATACTGGTGTGTTGGCTAGAGATATGTGGTATATATGTCTTATACTGGTGTGTTGGCTAGATATGTCTTATACTGGTGTGTTGGCTAGATATGTCTTATACTACTGGTGTGTTGGCTAGATATGTAGATATGCTTACTGGTGTGTTGGCTAGTGTGTTGGCTAGATATGTCTTATACTGGTGTGTTGGCTAGATATGTACTGCTTATACTGGTGGTGTGTTGGCTAGATATGTCTTATACTGGTGTGTTGGATAGATATGTCGTATGTGTGTTGGCTAGATATGTCTTATACTGGTGTGTTGGCTAGATATGTCTTATACTGGTGTGTTGGCTAGATATGTCTTATACTGGTGTGTTGGCTAGATATGTCTTATACTGGTGTGTTGGATAGATATGTCTTATACTGGTGTGTTGGATGGGTGTGTTGGATAGATATGTCTTATACTGGTGTGTTGGCTAGATATGTCTGAATACTTGGCTGTGTGCTGTGCTGTGTATGAAGATTTGAAGTGTTTCCAATACCTGTTTGTACAGGCAAGAGGTTGTTCCGGCAATGGTTGTAACCATGATTGGGGCTGCTTCGCAGCTGGTACAGCCAAGTCTTGCATGTAGAGGAGGTAGCTTTCTTTTCCTAAAAGTGCTCAAATTGACCGTTTCTTCCTACTACAAAGGCATCTCCCTTGTTCACAGAATCCACACCTTAGGGTCAGCATGCAGAAGCAGGAAGCACCCGGACAGCAGAGCTATCCTGTATGAAGAAGTCAGCTACAGGTAGGCTTGCAGACACACCTACAACACAATTTTAGTTCCACCTAACCACTCACAAACAATTACCATATCTTTTATATATTTTTTATTGGTGATTCAACATTATTGTGTGTGCTTTTACAGTAAAAGAAAGATAGAAGATTTTCTTGCAACACTTGGAGGATTTAAATCTGCTTTTCAAATGGCACAGAAAGTCCAGACTGACACGTCTAAGTTCAGGTAAGTAGCCCTGCTTCTTGTTTGGTTGGATGCTGTTTCAGCCTTTGATGTCTGGGGGAGTTGTAGTAGCTGCCAGTGCAGGAAGATACTGGTACATCACAATCACAGGTATGGGTGATACAAGCAATTCTTTCATGTAACATTTGCTTGCTTCTGGCAGTTTGTCATAGGAAACATCAGTACAAGGAAATGGGCAATTATTTGTAATATCATCTGGAAGTGATGTCACAAGTGATCTCAGTACATCAAAAAACACACAACAAAACTGACACATTAGGAAGCTAGTGACCTCATTGAATATACAAACTATAGGCTCCAGGAGAGAATATTGGGCAATATTATTCTGATTACAACCATATATAGAGTATGTCAGTAACACCTACGTTGCTGGTTAGAGCGTCCGCCCGGAGAGCGGAAGGTCACGGGTTCGATCCCCAACCGCGTCATACCAAAAGACGTTAAAATATGGTACTTGCTAGTCCCTGCCTGGCGCTCGGCATTAATGGGTACTACAAGGACTGGTCGGCTCGGAGTCAGCATAATGTGTCTGAGTGGGGTATTCATGCTTCACTGCGGCATGGTATCTCAGTGGGCTAGCACTATAAAACCAGCTTCAGTCTGGGCAAGTACAAGCAGCTGCACATACACATACACACGCATGCACGTCGTCATATGAGAGAGAAATATTCTCAAGCACGACGTATAAACCAATTTCACCTCGCCTCACTTTTTGACTGTCAATATCTAAACCAGTGCACTTGTGTGTCTGCCATGAAAACATTTCCATTTCTGATTCTTTTTCAGAAGAGGTCCTCCTTGAGGTACTTATAATCATTTATGTCCTTTAAAAATTCCTATGACAGTTGTAAATATATTTTGAAGAAAATATTTACAAAACAAAAACTGTTTTTGTCGACCACCACTGCAGGGCCCCACAGCCAAGAGAAGGTAACTCTAACCTTCAACCTCGTTACTCATTATCCCCAGCCGCGCGTTTAGTGCTAAGCGGGGGATATAGTATTAGGCTCCGTATGTACGTACGTGACCTTGACCTTCATTTCAAGGTCACAAGGGGACTTTAACGTTTTACTCTTGTCAGCGAGATATCTCAAGAACCGTTCACTAGATTTTCTTCATATTCAACACCAAGCTTTATCTAGGGAAAGTGCGGGCCCAGTCGATATTGGTGACCTTTACATAATTTTCAAGGTCATGGCGACACTTTGAAGATTTCAGCATGTTAACCTGCATGTTAAGCTATCTTAAGAACCGTTCACTGGATTTTCTTCATATTCAACGCCAAGCTTTATCAAGGGAAGGCGCCAGGGACCAGTTGATTTTGGTGACCTTCACAAACTTTTCAAGGTCATGGCGATACTTTGAAGATTTCAGCATGTTAACATGCATGTCGATTTTGGGTGACCTTCATTTAATTTTCAAGGTCATAAAGACACTTTGAAGATTTCAGCATGTTAAATTGCATGTTAAGATAGTCAGCAAGATATCACAAAAACGTTCACTGGATTTTTTTTCATTTTTTACACCAAGCTTCATCTATATGACTAATGAAGGTGCAGTGCCCAGTAAAATTTGGTGACCTTCACATAATTTTAAAGGTCACTGCAACACTTTGAAGATTTCGGCATGTTAACCTGAATTCACTGGATTTTCTTCATTCACTTTCAAGACTTCCCTTGGGATGTTTTGCAATAAGCAATTTCTTTAGTACCATTTTTGCATATTTCATACACTATGACATTCATGTCAAGGTCAAAGTCAGTCTTGAAAATATTTGTGTGTTTGAACAAGTAAAGAGAAGATGCCAAGAGAGGTTGACTGGTCATGTTTTTGTTGACATTAAACTTCATCTTAAACTTTCATTACTTTTTAAGTTTGATTTGATAATTTGCCGCAGGGAATTTTGTCACCTTAGTGACAATGCTTGTTTTCGATGCTGTTGTTCTGTCGTTGAGAAGACGTGTGCCAGTTTCATTGACTTTTTCAAGTTGTAATTCCTAAAGATGAGTGAGAAGGAGACAAATACTGTATGCATGGTTCCTTTATTCATCGCATAAGTAGGTGCCATACTTGAAGATGGAGAAACTGTGCTCAGTGATCTCATCTGTTGAGGCGTGGGATTGGCTAACGTCAGTTGACCTGAAAGATTCATACCTTCATGTTCCAATGCCCCCCGATTTCAAGCAGTTCCTTTGGTTCTGCTTCGACAGGTAGTGCTACCAGTTTCGTGTGCTCCCCTTTGGCATCTTTAAGGTGCCAAGGGTGTTCGCCAGATTTCAGGGCCTCTGTTGCCACCCATACCTTGACAACTGGCTCCTCAGAGCACTAGGCCAACAGTTGAGTCGAGATATGACACATTCAGTGCTGGATATTCTTACAAAACTAAACTGGATTGTCAATGTCAAGAAATTAGAACTTGTTCTGACGCAGGATCTGATATTCTTGGGAGCAATATTCGATACAGAGCGGGGGTCTTGTTTCCCTGTCTCAAGACCGCAATGTCAAAATCAAGAGGACTGCTTTGTATTTCCTCGAGTCACCCATGACTTCAACAAGGACATGGCTCCAGTTGCTGGGAAACATGGCGGCGACAGTGAATGTAGTTTGGCGTGTGTGTGTGAGGTCTTGGCACAGCTGTGGGCCCACTCAAGAGATCTCCGAGAAGCGTCTCGAGCTGCCAGAGTGGTGGTTGATTCCTCACCTACAAGGGGGGGACCTTATCCAGAGAGCTCCCCCTGGAGACACCGACCCGACACTCTCGATTCAAACAGATGCATCCCTCACAGGCTGGGGCGGTATTCTGGGCGACCTGTAAGTCACGCATCCTAGATGTCTGCAATACTCTCAAGGCTTATGTCAAACGAACAAAAGATATGCATAAGGATAGTCAGTTGTTCTGCTGTTATGACGGGGTGAATTCTGGTTTTCCAGCAGGCAAGCGGACCATCTCTAGGTGGCTTATCTCTGCCATGTGCATGGGCAATATCCATAAGGGTTTGAAAGCTCAGTTGGTTAGGGCAGTAGCCACCTCTGAGGCATATGCTACGTCTCTGCCCATGGAAGAGATCTGTTATGCGGCAATTTGGAGTTGGAAGAGTGTGTTCATTAGACACAATAGACTCCGGACTGCTCGGGTTTGGTCAGTCAGTTTTCTGCACTGGGCAGAGTAGTAACTCTCTAGCTGATGAAGAGCTTTCGACTTTACGCACATCTGCACTGGTTATGGTGGTGGGTAATTACACTCTCCCACCTCGGCAGAGGGCGTTTGTGGTGGTACTTTATCGCGACACTTGAATTGCATTACAGCAATTGTTTACACTCATTTGATTTCCTCAGAAATCTTCGCTGCAGGATTGGTTGAATAAGACAAAAACAAGTGTTTTTGTTTGGTAAATATTTTATTCAAAATATAGTTACAACTGTTGTAGGAATTTTTATGGACTTGAAAATGCTTGTAAGTACCCCAAGGAGGACTCTCTTCAAAGAATCAGCCCAATCGTTGTTTTGCGACAGTTAAATGAGGGTGTAAATTGAGGACATCGTGTCTGAACTTAATGTATTTACTCACTTGCCTTGAATTGCTTCTTGCTGCTTTGAACAGCTGTTGAAGTTTTAATTGAGTGATTGATGACAGGTGAGCAGTTCAGAGATTAACAGTTTGTTGTGACCATGGCCAGCACAAATAAACAAAACAGATCGCTTTTAAACAAAATCATCTTAAGAAATACAATCTTGACACTGTTAGGATAAAATACCCATGCACCTGACCGTGACCTTGACCTTGACCATGGCACAGGCTATAAGCATTGTCAGTTTCTCGGCATATTGATTGAAATAACTGATTATGTATTTTGGAAACATATCAAACATGTCTGTTGCACAAAGTAAATACTTCATCCTTGTGAACCATTGGGCATATGTTCATTAGCTATTGCATCATTGTGTCACATTGTGCACATGCAAATACAAATCTGGTACCATGTATGGAAATGTTTAGAATGTTGGCCTTCAGAAGGACCTGCTTGCATTGTGCCGGGGGAATGTGTTGTAATGGTGAGGCGTGTTCTGTACAGGTCCTCACTACTGAAGAAGACTCTGTCCATCCGCTGCTCCGAGACAGACCATGGACACTTCCCTGACATCAGTGAGGACTTGGCATTCTTTGATGTAAGTCTAACAGTACATACCTGGGACATTGGGTTCTATTGGAAAGATGTTGATACTTGATCCAGAACTGTAATAGGAAGAAACTCTTATGAATACATCCCTCTAACACTACATTGCCATTTTTCCTGAAAGTCATTTCTTAATCTACAGGTTGACTTCAATAAAAAATTGATGAGATTTAATAAAATCAGGGAAATGATACCATTAATCTCATCTCCTAGATAACAAAAAAATGGAAGTGGCGTCATCAGATTTACCAGAAACCATAAGTGGCATCATAAGTGGACTAATTTTAGAATATTCAGCAGCAAGAAGAAGTATCTAGTGTTTTCACGACAACCAAACACAGGTCTGTTTGTCTTACCTGTTAACCTTTTGTCACTGTGTGGTTGTCTTCTTTACTTGTATTGTGGGTACTTCTGGGGCACCCAGCCTTATGTGGGATTCAGCAATCAAGTGTAACAGGGACGCCTTCGTAATTTTTTAATTCATGTCAACCTATGGATTGAGAAGTTTCAGAGCGAAAGTGTTAGAGGTCGTATTCTAGAGATAGTGTTCGAGATTGTGTATTTCAGGGCTTTGAGTCTGGGAGAGCTTTAATGTGAATAACAGGAATATTCTGCTCACCTTGGAGTAATTCTCCAGATGTTTTTCAAAAACAGCTATCTTGTGAATATCTCATTCATGCATGTAGGTTGTAAGTGTCATTTGAAGGATTAAGTAACTGTAATTAGAGACAGACATGTGTAATTGCTTTGATGAAACACATATCATTTTGACAGGCTGCTTTTGATCACAGTAAAGCTCGTAAGGATGGAACTATATTACCAAGTAAAGGTAAGAAAAACTTTGTTTACACGTGTAACACGATCCTTGTTAGCCAATTGCTACAAAGTCAATTGTATTTTCAGTGGTGTTGCATTATTAAGACAGTATTGTAAAATCCTGTATCCTTGGAAACAGATTGAAGTAGGTTGTTGTTGATGATGTCTGGAAGTCTCAACATTTGTGTTGGACAGCTCTGAAACATATCCAGTCTAAAACAGGAGGTTTCTTGTTCGAGGTTGTATCCATGAAGCACAACTGGTGTATGTTCTGATGAGACTGGGGTGTTTGTGACGATGCAGGTGAACTGAGATGTTTGTCATGTTGTGAGGTATGTATGTCATGTTGTGAGGTATGTTTGTCAGGGGTCAACCCGGACTATGACCAGGCCACTCAGGACATCAAAGCTATCGAGAAGAGACTTGTGCAGTATCTGGACAAACAGCTTAGATCGCCTTAGTTGTATGGTCAGTGTTTCCTGGAGGTGTTCTTTTGGTCAAAGATAGATAATTTCGTCACAATTCTGCCTTAACCTGTCAAGAGGGCTTGGCTGGGAAAATGTCAAGCTTATGTCACAAAATAATTCTGATGTTATTGAAATTCAGTATTTAATTCCTGATTGGACACATTCCTTCACTGTCAAAACTTTGAAGAAGGTCACGTCAGGTTAAGTAAGGGTGAACTTGGAACAACCAATGAAAATACGGACACATTCTTGAATCAATGTGATGTCTGCTTTCTTAAACTATTTGACTGTATTTCTACACAACCATAAAACAGAAATCTATTTTTGAACAAAACTTTTTCCAAACAAAACACAACTACTCCCTCAGTAAACCATTTTAGGTATGGAAGTGACTCAGAATCGATGAGATTTATGAGAATTTGGAAGCCTCCATGATTTGTCTGATTGGAATGTATGCACTGCATTACCTCCAATGTTTAAATTGATCCGATCTTGACAACTGGTGTATTGAATCAGGGTAATAGTATATGAACTTACGATTGAAGATAAATCCCATATAACTTCCAGGTTCATAGCTAGTAGAGTATTTCCTATGTATTCAGCAAACTAACATTTATGTTACAGGCAATGGTGTACTGGGGAACAGCCAAGAACCGTTATCAAATGGAGATACCAGAGGTTGCTTGGAAACGGGTGCCCATGGAGTATGAGGTGATGTCATCTAAGAAAGGATGGAAACGGTACCGAACACCCGACATTGAGGACATGTTGGCAGACTTGACAGAAGCTGAAGATAGAAAGGATACAGCCCTGAAGGACACAATGAGGAGAGTATTCTACAGCTTTGATGAAAGGTATGGCTGATGTAAGACTATTGTAGACATTCAGAGGCTGACATCCATAGAGGTGTACCTGAAAAACACATTCAGATGAGTTATTCAAAGGTAAAGCAATACACCCCATATCCCATTACTCAAATTTTGTTCTTGTAAAGTTGATGAAAACCCTGTTATTTTCAGCAGTTAGTAGCACATGATGTAGTCTCATGTATTGATTTATTATGAACTGTTGTCATATTATACATGTATGTTTGTGTTTGCAGGCACAAGAAATGGCGTGATGTTTTGGACTGTCTCTCAGTGTTAGATGTGATTATCTCCCTTGCTCAGTACTCCCGGTGTGGAGATGGTGTCAATTGCCGTCCAGAGCTTGTGGACCTGGGGGAAAATGTTGAGGTAGATCACGACAATATCTAAGTGTTGGACCTGGGGAGAGTGTTGAAGTAGATCACAACAATATCTAAGTGTTTATACATTGTGGACCTTTATACATTCCTGTAACAGTGTGGTGTATACTTCATGTAACAGTGTGGTGTATACTTTCTATAACAGTGTGGTGTATACTTCCTGTAATAGTGTATACTTCCTGTAACAGTGTGGTGTGAACTTTCTATAACAGTGTGGTGTATACTTCCTGTAACAGTGTGGTGTATACTTTCTATAACAGTGTGGTGTATACTTCCTGTAACAGTGTGGTGTATACTTTCTATAACAGTGTGGTGTATACTTCATGTAACAGTGTGGTGTATACTTCCTGTAACAGTGTGGTGTAAACTTTCTATAACAGTGTGGTGTATACTTCATGTAACAGTTTATACTTCCTGTAACAGTGTGTTGTATGCTTTCTACTCCTGTAACAGTGTGGTGTAAACTTTCTATAACAGTGTGGTGTATACTTTCCATAACAGTGTGGTGTATACTTCCTGTAACAGTGTGGTGTATACTTCCTGTAACAGTGTGGTGTAAACTTTCTATAACAGTGTGGTGTATACTTCATGTAACAGTGTATACTTCCTGTAACAGTGTGGTGTATGCTTTCTACTCCTGTAACAGTGTGGTGTATACTTTCTATAACAGTGTGGTGTATACTTCCTGTAACAGTGTGATGTATACTTTCTATAACAGTGTGGTGTATACTTCCTGTAACAGTGTGGTGTATACTTTCTATAACAGTGTGGTGTATACTTCCTGTAACAGTGTGGTGTATACTTTCTATAACAGTGTGGTGTATACTTTCTATAACAGTGTGGTGTATACTTCATGTAACAGTGTATACTTCCTGTAACAGTGTGGTGTATGCTTTCTACTTCCTGTAACAGTGTAGTGTAAACTTTCTATAACAGTGTGGTGTATACTTCTACAACAGTGTGTATGTATACTTTCCTAACAGTATACTTTCCATAAAGGTGATTGTGTGGTAACAGTATACTTTCCTATGGCGTTTCCGGTAACTTTTAGTTATATGCTTTCCTATAACAGTGTGGCGTATACCCGTGTATACTTCCATAAGAGTGTTGGTATGCTCCGGTACCTGCGTCAATTGTATACTTCCATACGTATTATTATAACTCTATAACAGTGTGGTACATACTTCCTGTAACAGTGTGGCGTGCACTTTCTATTCCGCAGTATTACTGCTTTCTATAACAGTGTGGTGTATACTTCCTGTAACATAATTGTCTGTGTGGTGTATACTTTCTATAACAGTGTGGTGTATACTTTCCTGTAACAGTGTGGTGTATACTTCCTATAAATAGTGCGGTGTATACTTCCTGTAACAGTGTGGTGTATACTTCTATGACAGTGTAGTATACCTGCTCTAACAGTGTATTTCTTCCATAACGGTGTGGTGTATGCTTTCTATAACCAGTAATGGTGTAACTTCCCGCGGTGGCGGGAATTTGTATTGATAGTTAAGTGGAAATCGAATGTTACTTTGCACCAGTGATGAATCTGGGACAGGACCCGCAATTTATTGCCTTTGTGGTCAAGTGGACCGATTTTTGAATGGTTTCTTTCCCTGTATACTTCCTGTAACGGTCAACATACTTCCTGTAACGGTGTGGTGTATATGCTTCCTGCTGTAACACAGTGTGGTGTATAATTTTTCTATAACGCGCGCTTCCTGTAACAGTGTGGTGTATGCTTTCTCCTAACAGTGTGGTGTATACTTTCCATAACAGTGTGGTGTATACTTTCTATAACAGTGTGGTGTATACTTCCTGTAACAGTGTATACTTCCTGTAACAGTGTGGTGTATGCTTTCTATAACAGTGTGGTGTATACTTCCTGGTAACAGTGTGGTGTATGCTTTTCTATAACAGTGTGGTGTATACTTCCTGTAACAGTGTGTATGTATACTCTTCCATAATAGTGTAACGGTGGTGTATGCTTCTCCTGTAACAGTGTGAATTGTATACTTCCTGTAACAGTGTGGTGTATGCTTTCTATAACTATACTTCTAATAACAGTGTGGTGTATACTTCCTGCAATAGTGACAGTGTGGTATACCTCCTGTAACAGTGTATACTCCTGTAACAGTGTGGTGTATGCTTCTATAACAGTGTGGTGTATACTTCCTGTAACAGTGTGGTGTATACTTTCTATAACAGTGTGGTGTATACTTTCTATAACAGTGTGGTGTATACTTCCTGTAATAGTGTATACTTCCTGTAACAGTGTGGTGTATACTTTCTATAACAGTGTGGTGTATACTTTCTATAACAGTGTGGTGTATACTTCCTGTAATAGTGTATACTTCCTGTAACAGTGTGGTGTATACTTTCTATAACAGTGTGGTGTATACTTCCTGTAACAGTGTATTCTTCCTGTAACAGTGTGGTGTATGCTTCTATAACAATGTGGTGTATACTTCCTGGTGGCCAGGGAATTTTGTATTGATAGTTAAGTAAATCTACACGAATGTTACTTTGCACCAGTGAAGCAACGGACAGGACCACTAATTATTGCTGCTGTGGTCAAGTGGACAATTTTGAATGGTTTCTTTCCCCTGTATACTTCCTGTAACAGTGTATACTTCCTGTAACAGTGTGGTGTATACTTCCTGTAACAGTGTGGTGTATACTTTCTATAACAGTGTGGTGTATACTTCATGTAACAGTGTATACTTCCTGTAACAGTGTTGTGTATACTTCCTACTTCCTGTAACAGTGTGGTGTATACTTTCTATAACAGTGTGGTGTATACTTCCTGTAATAGTGTATACTTCCTGTAACAGTGTGGTGTATGCTTTCTACTTCCTGTAACAGTGTGGTGTATACTTTCTATAACAGTGTGGTGTATACTTTCTATAACAGTGTGGTGTATACTTCCTGTAACAGTGTATACTTCCTGTAACAGTGTGGTGTATGCTTTCTATAACAGTGTGGTGTATACTTCCTGTAACAGTGTGGTGTATGCTTTCTATAACAGTGTGGTGTATACTTCCTGTAACAGTGTGATGTATACTTTCTATAACAGTGTGGTGTATACTTCCTGTAACAGTGGTGTATACTTCCTGTAACAGTGTGGTGTATACTTCCTGTAACAGTGCAGTGTATACTTTCTATAACAGTGTGGTGTATACTTCCTGTAACAGTGGTGTATACTTCCTGTAACAGTGTGGTGTATACTTCCTGTAACATTGTGGTAATACTTCCTGTAACAGTGGGGTAATACTTCCTCTAACAGTGTGGTGTATACTTCCTGTAACAGTGTGGTAATACTTCATGTAACAGTTGTGTGTATGAGGTCAAAATGCAACTGTTTAACATTATGCAAGAGTGGTGTGTATGGGCTCATTCATTTCACAGCTGTTTAACTTTCTCTAACCGTGGTGGTTAAGTTGTCATTCATAATAGAGTTGTTCAACTTCTTTTCCAGCCATTCCTGGAGTTACGTGAGGCTCGTCACCCATGTGTGGCCCGAACATTCTCTGGTGGAGACTTCATACCAAATGATACTGTGATAGGTGTTGGTGATGTAAGTGTTTCTATGATCTGCCGTGTTGTGCATGATATTGCTGGTGAAGGATACAGCATCTTTATAGATTGAAAGACAATTTAGTGTAGAAAGGAAATATGACTGTATGTTGATGTTAAGTGTGAGTGATGTTAATGGTGTTTTCCTGGTGTGCAGGAGGCAGATGAGGATGGTGAATACTCCCGCAGTCGCATTGTGCTGGTGACGGGGCCCAACATGGGTGGGAAATCTACACTCATGAGACAAGTGGGATTGATAACTATCATGGCTCAACTGGTGAGAAACTGAGGCTTTAATACAACACTCATTAATTGCAATTTTTGATGACATCGTTCACTTAAGAAAGATTCCTTTTGTGGTTATTTCCAGGAAACGAGATTAAGTCCCTGAAGAGCATGATGATGACATTTTGACCTGAGGCAGCAGTTGTCCTAAGAATACAGAACATAATGTGTCTGTGCTCATATTTAACAGGAGATGTCAGTGTGATTTTGTGTAATTGTTTTGTGGCATTCAGAATGGAAGAGTGGATATTTTACCGACCAACAGTTTAAATAGTTCATCTTCTTTGTTCCAGGGCTGTTATGTGCCAGCAGAGAAGTGTCGACTGACTCCCGTAGACCGTGTCTTCACTCGGCTTGGTGCCAGTGATAGAATAATGGCGGTAGGTAGACCAACTCTAGACCCAACTTAGTGCCAGTGATATGATATTATCAGGTGGGTAGACCAACTCTAGAACCAACTTAGTGCCAGTGATATTATATTATCAGGTGGGTAGACCAACTCTAGACCCAACTTAGTGCCAGTGATATTATATTATCAGGTGGGTAGACCAACTCTAGACCCAACTTAGTGCCAGTGATATGATGTTATCAGGTGGGTAGACCAACTCTAGACCCTACTTAGTGACAGTGATATTATATTATCAGGTGGGTAGACCCAACTTAGTGCCAGTGATGTGATGTTATCAGGTAGGTAGACCAACTCTAGACCCAACTTAGTGCCAGTGATATGATATTATCAGGTAGGTAGACCAACTCTAGACCCAACTTAGTGCCAGTGATATGATATTATCAGGTGGGTAGACCAACTCTAGACCCAACTTAGTGCCAGTGATATGATATTATCAGGTGGGTAGACCAACTCTAGACCCAACTTAGTGCCAGTGATATGATATTATCAGGTGGGTAGACCAACTCTAGACCCAACTTAGTGCCAGTGATATGATATTATCAGGTGGGTAGACCAACTCTAGACCCAACTTAGTGCCAGTGATATGATATTATCTGGTGGGTAGACCAAATCTAGACCCAACTTACTGCCAGTGATATGATATTATCAGGCTAGTGCTATGATATTATCTGGTAGGTAGACCAAATCTGGACGAAACTTAGTGCTAGTGATAGAATAATGATGGGTAGGTAGACCATTTCTAGACCCATCTTAGTGCTAGTGATAGAATAATGGTGGGTAGGTGTACCAAATCTAGACCCAACTTATTGCCAGTGATATACATTTTTAAACTTATCCTATCTCTCATGTTGTACTCTCTCCCTCTTCAATTCGACCAGCTGAGTGGAAACGACTTGCAAACAAAATCCTTGGCCTCTTGGTCCTTTCGCCTGTGCACTCCATGCTGCTCCCCTAATTGGACAGCTTCTGTGTCGCCTGAGAAGCATGCAGCACGCTCCACTGTCTGCTCACATGAACACCTCTCTCTGATCATTCTCATTCTTGGAGCAATGTTTTAATCTGAGCAGTGGGGAGGCCGGGTGGTCATCCATTGCGTGAGATAGGATAAGCATCTGAATATACAATCTACTTAAAATTACTAATTCTTTATTATATATTCCTCCTTGGGGTACTTATAAGCATTTAAATGTCCATTTAAAATACCTACAACAGTTGTAACAATATTTGAATAAAAATATTTACAAAACAAAAGACCACCCTTACAGGGCCTTCCGGCCCCCTACAGCCAAGAGCAGGTAACTCTAGACCGTGACCTCATACCTCACTTTCCATGCTGTCGTTTACCGGCAAGACGTGGGTCCATTCCAAGAAGGTTTCATTTCCCTACGCAAATTATGAGTGTCTCAGAAACAGCAACTGTATGTATGGTTCTCTTTTTTCCCTGCATGGGCGATTTGGAGACTTGTTCTGAACTTTTTCATTCATAATTTCTAGTTGTAACTTGGTACCTGTCGCGGTCGGCTCGCCGGGTGCGTGTCAAGATGGCGGACAGGTCCCTTCGTTAGCCTCCCTGTTCATTGGTTTCCCGTGTGGTTTTTCAATGTTACGGGTGGTTATAGTAATTTTTATTTATATGTTGTTACATGTAGGGCGTTATCACCGCTGCTAGCATTTTCTATCTTACGCTAAAAGTCGTAATTGTTAGTTATGTTGCAGTGCGTATTGATGGTTATTGTCAACTGCATGCTACGTTTGTCGCATTAGTTGTGTCGCCCATGCGTGTTTGTTCATATATGTATGTGTGTATGGGGTAGATTGCTGCACAGGTTTTTACTTGTTGCAGTTTAAATCCTGTACTTCGTGCCTCGCTGCCATTCCCGTCAGGGATACGCACGAGGTGTGTTTAAGATGTCTCATGCAGACTGATCATGAAGAAGAGGGGTGTCCGGCGTGTGCGATTTTCACGCCTCAACCCATTAAGGCAAGGCGGGTGGACCGGCTGTTTTACAGCAACCTGCTTCGGGCGGGGGGGTGATATCTGTGCTCAGGATCCCCCGTCCAAGCGTTCACATAGCAAAAAAAAGGGGTCTGCGGGAGCCGCTTCCCATACGGAGCCGGCTCCCAAAAGAGCTAAGGTTACCAAGGAGGCTTCGTCTGAAAAAATTAATGCTCCTTCTATATCTCAACCTTCCCCAGTCTCTGCTTCCGCCACCCCCCCTGTTGTATCGGCACCCGTTGTACCTGTTGCCTCTTTAACTGCTTTGTTTCAGGAACAGATGTCGTCAGTGAAATCACTGATCGATACGGCGTTGGCTGCGTTGGCTGGGTTCCGTAAGGAGCTCAGCGCGCCGGACGTCGGGGTTGGATCGGACACATGTGGGGGTTGGCTGCGCCCGAAGTTTTGCTCGAGAACGCTACCTCCCCTTGGGCAGCTTGATCCCGGCTTAGGCCGTGGGGAAAGCGCGCCCGCGGCGCCTGGTGGCAACCTAGCTTCACGCTCAGGTCCGTCACAGGTGCCTGGCGCCGGCGATGCAGGGTTACCCCTGTCTTCGCCTGGTGCCCTGACTGGCGGTCGCCTAGGCGCCGACCAGCTCGGGGATACCTCGGCGCCTGGCAGCCAGTCTGGGTTGCCCGGGAAGCCTGTTGCGGCAGGTTCCTCTCGGCGAAGCTGGCGCTGCTTCCACCCGGCAGGGCTTACTCATTCCTCTGGCTTCTTTGACCTTTTGAATCTTTCTTGTTCAGCCTCTGGCGTATCCTCGGCGGTCTCTAAGGAGTATGAGTGTACGGCGGCCGAGGATTGTGCCGAGGTGGATATGGAGGATGATGAAGGGAGGGAGGAGTCGGAGGCGGGAGTTCCGTACTCCTTTGGCCCGTCCCTGTGGCAGGTTCGGGATAAGATCGCCGAAATCCTGCCTCAGGTGGCCGCTACCGTGACAGGCGCCTGACCCACGCTGAGTTTCGCTCTCCGGGACGCTTCAGCTTAGCCGGGTCGCCGAGGCACGCCTCCGCATTCTGCCATCACTGGTGAGTGAGGTGGTCAATCCTCTCTTGACTGGTGCCCGCACGCGGTTTGATTTGCCCGACGTCGGCAAGCGGTACCAGTTGGGAGAGGAGGCGCTGTTCGAGCCGCCAGTGGTGGACGAGTGCGTCTTTGCTTCCGTCACGACGGTCTAGCGGCTTCAACTGTTCGAGGATATTCTACGGCTATTTCTGCGTTTCATTTTCCTGTTGACGATGCTCTCTTGGGGCAGCACCCTCTTGTGCAGCGCTTTTTAGCAGGCGTGGACAGAATCCGTCCAGTTGTCCGGCGGATTAGTCCCCCTAGGGACTTGTCAATCGTTCTTGACAAGTCCCACTGTTTCACAATCTGTCGGCTCTTTCACTCCAGCTGTTGACGTGGAAGACGGCGTTTCTTGTGGCGGTGACTTCAGGCAGGCGGGTTGGCGATATTCACGCAATGTCGGCCGATCCCACGCTTACTGTTTTTCACAAAGACAGAGTTAGCATACGGCTGCCTGATACTTACCGTCCTAAGAAGGATATTCCCTTCCATGTGATGGCGCCTATTGAGCTCCCAGCTTTCACTCAGCCTTCCCTGTCCGGTACCTTCTACGACGTGCTCACGTCTTAGATGTCCGTAAGACACTTAAGGCTTATATCAAACGAACAAGGGGTACCCGTAAGCAATTGTTATGGCGGGGTTCAGGCTGGTCTTCCGGCGACCAAGCCAACCATTTCTCGGTGGCTTGTCTCTGCCATACATATGAGCTATACTCAAACAGGGCGTATCCCGCCTGTAGGGTTGAAAGCTCATTTCTCGTTAGGGCAGTTGCTACATCGAAGCTTACGCTGCAGCTGCCCATTGAGGAGATCTGCTCCGCGGCTATTTGGAGCCGTCCGAGTACGTCATTACCAACTTGACAGACTCTTCAGTGAGCGTGCTCGGTTCGGTCAGTCAGTTCTCTCCAGTGGGCATGGTTCCACCTCTGTAGCCGATTGAGCTTTCGAGGATTTTATTATGTGAACCATTCTATGCCAATTTTTTAACACTGGTGTTGGGTTTTAAAAATCTTGTTTACATATCCCCTTGGTGACGGGTTTTATGTGGTGATGGTTTTTATTCCCATGTCTTTTGCATTCTGCTCTAGACTTACTGGCCTTGGAAACTTTGCTGAATATATATATTAAGGCATTTCGCTTCTGGCTGCTTATTATGGACCCCTTATCTTCGCCTCGAAAGTGATTACGGAGGGGGAGGGTTTATCTCGCTTGTTTGCATTAGCTTAGGTTTCGCTGGGCAATTAGCATATATGTTCAACCCTGACCCTGGCTCATGCCCCCGCCTGATTGGCTATGGTGGACACGGACCGGTAAGTGAGCTTTTTCTGCTATATTTAGCTTCGAAATTCCATTTCTTGTCGGGGGTGTTTTCTGCAGACAGAATGCCACTCCTTAGTCTGCCTTTAGGAGTCTGTCTTATGCTTATAGTACCCCAAGGAGGAATATATAAAAAAGAATCGAACTAACCTGTAGAGGTTTCAGATTCTTTGAATATATTCCTCCTTGGGGTACGCCCGCCCACCTCCCCACATTCTGTCTGACGTCATTCAGCATGGAAAGTGAGGTACGAGGTTACGGTCTAGAGTTACCTGCTCTTGGCTGTAGGGGGCCGGAAGGCCCTGTAAGGGTGGTCTCACAAGACAAAACGTAGTTTTTGTTTTGTAAATATTTTTATTCAAATATTGTTACAACTGTCGTAGGGATTTTAAATGGACATTTAAATGCTTATAAGTACCCCAAGGAGGAATATCTTAAAAGAATCTGAAACCTCTACAGGTTAGTTCGAATTTTTAAAACTTATCCGATCTCACATATTGCACTTATCTCACGGTCGGATGGCTCGTGCAGATTACCCTGGTCAGGACAGTGCGAACAGCTGACTCTGTGTAGTCTGAAGCCAACCGTAGATAG